TATATCATTTAATTTCCACCCTCTTAGGTTAGTTTTCTGTAACAGAACAGTGAACTGAAATGAAAATCCTCCAAGTACTTCTAATGATAATTGTTTTGTCTTCGTAATAACAWAACAAATAAATCTACATTTTCTATTAAAAAAAACACCAAAAGAAATTCTTAGACACAAATTGGTGTCAAAATACTTTATATACAACCAGAAATATGAAAAATCGTGCTGTATCTATGTAATGAGAATTGTAATGCATTCTGCTGTCATTTATTTTTTTTAAATCAATAAAAAAAAATCTTAAAATGTGCAAAAAATATGCATACACACTTCACCGAAGAGAACATACAGAAATTTATACACAGGTATTTAAGGTAGTTTATTCTTTTTTTTTTTTTTTTTTTTTTAGTAAATGTAGCTGAAGTAAGCACAAGTCCACTTTATTGTTAATAGCCAAATGTTGGAAATTACCCAGCGCCCTTCACTGGAGGAATGGCTACACAGATACAAGGTCTCCATACCCTGGCAGATGACTCAGCACAAAAAAGCAACTAACTACAAATACATGCAAAAAATGGAACGGCTCTCAAGGAAATTATGCTGAGTTAAGAAAGCCAATCTCAAAAGGATACAAACTGCATGATTCCATTATAAAACAAAAACTTGTGTGCAACATAATTACAGAGATGGAGAACAGATGAGTGGTTGCTAGGGAGTTAGGGCTGGAGGAGAGAGAGCAGAACCATAAACGAGCTGTGTGCCGCAGTCTCRTGGTGGTGGTGGAGTTAGGCATCTTGACTTGGTGGTGCTTACAACAAACTCTTCGTGAGAGAACGCTGCATCCCAGGAAACCACTCTTCCCTGGAAAATATGAACAGTAGGTCACCTTGGCAGGACCCTCAGGTGGTTCTGGGGAAGAGCTTGGTCTTCAACAGGTGGAAGATCCAGGTCTTCAGGCTGCTTAGCGAAAAGAACTTGTGGGGGCCACAGAAGACACAGGCAGGAGAAACTGTTATCACTAGGACAAGAAATGAGGGCCCAATGTGACCAGTGAGCCAGATGTTCACCAGACTMATTTGCTTTTCCTCTGGGGTATAGTCCAGCACACATCTAGACTACATTTCCCAGCTGCCCTTGCGGGTTCACGTGGTCATGTGACTGAGTTCTGGYCAATAGGATGTGGGTAGACCAGCTAGATCCCTCCCACAAGCCCTACCCCTTCTCAATGAGCTTTAAACCACATAGAAAATCTGCAGATGTGCTGAACTTTTTTTATAATATTTTTTCCTATATATACACACCCATGGTAAAGTTGAATTTATAAGTTAGGCACAGTAGGAGATGAACAATATCTAGTAAAAAAAAAATAGAATGATTATAACAACATACTATAATAAAAGTTATGTGAATATGATCTCTCTGAAAATTTCTCACCATACTTCCACCTTTTCTTTTTAAAGGAAGTACTTTACAGGTTCTCTTTTGGCAACATCACTACACTTGCACTTTGAGGCCATTTACTAWGCACAATAAGGGTTATACTGAACATAAGCACTGAGAGATGATAATAGTTGATAATCGTCTGATAACCTAGTGATTAACGTTATGTGATTAACGGGCTGGTAGCATATACAGAGTGGACATGCTGGACAAAAGGGTGGTGTGCATCCAGGGCTGGATGGAACAGGCTGTGTGAGATGTCATCACACTGCTCAGAACAGTGCACAGTCTAAAACCTATTGTTTGTTTCTGGAATTTTCCATTTAATATTTTCAAACTGCTGTCAACTGCAGTTAACTGAAACTGTGGAAAGTGACACTGTGGATGAGGTGGGGCTCCTGTACTGAAGAGGGTGGAGCACAAGCTGGAGGGAACCCRAGTCCCAGTTATCCCACAGAAGCCTGACTTATCAGGAACACGTGCCAAGCTGCGAGTGCTTGTCCTCCTCTGCTGCCAGTATCTAGTGTTTCCTTAACTGACATCCCTAAGATGCACACTTCCTGGGCATGCCATCCGCATCACAAGCCCCAGTGTCCTCCCTGGGGACTGTCATCGGGGAATAATTGGGGTGAAAAGGGAGAAGGGTGAGGCAGGGAGGAGACTGAGTCAGCTTCCCCTCTCCTCAGTTTTGATGTGCTGGGTCCCCTCCCGGAGGGCAGCTGAGAAATCCAAATAGCCCACCGTAGCTCCAGAGAATCCCAGCGCCTCTGCGCATCATACGGGAGGGGCTTGAACCCCAGACCTTAGAACCCTAGAAATCAGATTCTGGAAAGACTGGAAGAGGTGTCACAAAATCCCATCTGTGCCATTGAACTAAAAGGGAAACGGATCGTGACGTCCCCTAATAAATCAGGGATGAGTGTGTTCTCATTCATCCATTCATCTATTCTTTTATTCAGTACACGGATATTAATTCCTCATGGATCAGGCACACGGGGATCAAACAGAAGGTTCCTGTCTCGTGGAAACCACCCACAAGCCCGTTCCCCACACGAGCAGGCCAGCAGCACTCGGTACAGCGGAGACTAAAGCGAGAGAAGGTGTTAAGGGAAACTGTGTGCTGTTCTTCCTAGCGCCATGAGAGGAGGTGTCTCTGAAGAAGCAGCACTGACCCAGAACAAGCCTTGAGGGCACCTGGGGAAGGGTTTCCCAGGATGAGAGAACAGAAAACYCCTGTGCACACGTACCAGGGGTCTGGGGAATAAGAGGAGGCCAGGTAGCTGGAGCTAAAGGCCTGGGGTCAGGAGGAGAACTGGGAGAAGGGGAGAGGGCTTCATCCTGCAGAGCTGTGTGGCTTGGAGTAGCCCTGGTCTCTGTGTGACTCATTGTCCCTCTTGGACCTGGCTCCTGTGGATGCTGCCCCCCTGGATCGGAAATGACTTGGGGCTGGGGGGGGGACCTCGTCTCTGGCTGGGAAGAGTTGACAGTGTAGAGGGAGGGACAGATGCCACCATAGTTCCCAGCTGGTGTGACCAGAACTGTCAGAAGGCATGGGGGAAGCCCGGAGGAGGTACCAGGCCTGGCCTGAGAACCAGGGAAGGAGAGGCATTAGAGGACKGGGCCTGAGTGAGTCCTGGGAAGTGGGGAAGGGACTTAGGCCACCATTCTGTGGAAGCCCCAAGGTGAGAGGCCTGAAATACTGCAAGGAGGGGGGGYTCTTTGAGATGAAAGGGGAGAAGTATGAGGCGGGAAGGAGACTGGGGTCAGAGATGGCAGACCATGTGGCTTTGCAAACCATTGTAGTCAGCACACGGGGACACCGTGATGCCCGCCCCAGCTCTGACCTGACGGAGGCACCCCCAAGCCTGAAGCCCCTGTGGCTCCATCTGTGAAATGGAACAGCTGGAATGGAATGACCCCTGTTGTCCTCCAGTGTGCGTGGTGCCCCACAGGAAGGATGGCCAGCTGGGGCCGTATCACACACACCCTGTGTTTCCTCCCCCCGACATTCTCCAGTGTCCCTCACTGCATTGGGAGGACTGGAAGAGACACTCTCCTTTTCTTTTGGATCAAGCTACACAAGAGCTGGGTGTGGTGGTGCACACCTGTAGTCCCAGTGGCTCGGGAGGCTGAGGCAGGAGGATGGCAAGTTCAAAGCCAGCCTATGCAACTGCAAGGCACTAAGCAACTTAGTGAGACCCTGTCTCTAAATAAAGTACAAAATAGGGCTGGGGATGTGGCTCAGTGGTCAAGTRCCCCTGRGTTCAATCCCTGGTTAAAAAAAAAAAAAAATGCCACACAGGTAGATTATGCAGCAAGACAGTGTCAAGGGTGAGTTCTTCTGGCCCTCCAAGGCTCTCACTCTTCCCATGGACTGTGCCTTGAGAGTGCCTAGGAGAGGCAAGAACTGCACCCAAGTTGACAGCTGACCTGCTGTGTGGTCTTAGGCAAGTCACTTGGTCTCTCTGAGTTTCCCTTTCCTCCCCTAAAAAGTAGTTCACCGAGACAGGAAACAATCTGTGTGTAGAATAACCATCTATAAAGTGTGTCGCCTAACACCAAGCACACAGGCCTTGGAAATGATAGTTAGCATGTTGTTCTCTGTTTTGGTGAGAAGAACAATTGGAGGCAGGAGGAAGCTGTTGGGTTGGAGGAGCAATTTGGCACCGACAGGGTTAAAATGGGACCAGCTGCCCCCAGTCCTGGTGATAAGGTTGGAGGAAACACAGTCCAGGTCCTCTGACCTGTCACAAGCGAATTTATGAGGTGCTGGACACTTTGAGTCAAAAAGTGGAGGCTCCCGACAGCTGCAGCAGGAAACACTCAGGGTCAGTGGCCAGAAGGGGCTCAGGACCCTCTTGAAAGAGAGAGAGGCGGGCAGTAGGCGCCGCGCAGACTGCCACCCAACAGGCAGGGAGGTGGAGAGGGATGGGACCCAGGCAGAGGCAGGGGCCCGCCAGGTGAAGGCAGGGAGACTGAGGCGGAAAAGGACGTGCACTCTGGCGAGAGCGAAGTCACGAAGTCGGGGAAAGGGGCCGAGTCAGGGCTCAGGATGGAAAACAGAAGACGCGAAGGGGTGGCCCTAGGGGCAGGAGGCAGATGCAGAAAGAGGAAAGGAAGGAAGGCCACAGGCGAAGAGCGGGTCAGGATGCGGCCGGAGGGACTCTCGGGTCCGTGCGTCTGTACCTGCCGGTGCGTGTGCGCTTGGCACTTGTCCGGGCCTCCTGGCCGGCGGGGCTGTGTCCACGTGCGGAGGGCAGCGGGCGGGGGGGGGGGCATGGGGTGGAGGGAGGGCGGGGACCCGGCGCTGCGATGGGTTGCAGAACAGACCAGGCTCAGGGACCCGCCAGGCGACCCCCCTGCGCCCGGCCCCGCGGGCGATCGCGCCGCCCCCGCGCGCCGGCTCCTCCCCGCGGGGGCAGTGCCCGCTGCGCCCACGCCCTCCCTCGACCTGGCGGCAGCCCCTGGGCGGACAGCGGGTCCCTGGCGGCGGGAGCGACTCCGCGCCCAGCGGATGCGCCCCGCTCTCTCGCGCTCTCCGAGCAGCCCCAGCGCCACCGCCGGGGCCGTCGGGTCGCCAGGGGAGCCCCGCGCCCGCCTGGACCAGGCTGCCCAGATGCGGGCGCCACTCTGCCTGCTGCTGCTCGTCGCCCACGCGGTGGACATGCTCGCCCTGAACCGAAGGAAGAAGCAAGGTACGAGGCGCGACAGGGCAGGCACTGCGGGCGATCGGGGATGTCCCTGGGGGCCTCTGCCTGTTGCCTGGTTTCTGGGCTAGTCACTCCTCCAGGTAAACGTCAGACCCAATGACAGATGGGGAGAGTGAGGCGCCAGGCACCTGGTAAGAGAGCCATTGAGCAAGCTGGACCTGATGGCTCTCCAAGGAGGAGAGAGACCCGCAGGACTTGCTCCCTGTCACCCCTGCCCCTCCCCTAAGGTAGCAACTCTGAGCCAGCCTGGGGGATCAGGGACTAGGAGACAGTGGTTGAGAGGCCATCCTAAGCATTCCCGTGGAGTCTGGAGGTGACATCTAGAGCTCTGGTCTGAGAATCCAGAGAATGAGAATGAGAATCCAGAGAATGAGAATGAGAATGGTCTGAGAATCCAGAGAATGAGAGCCCAGAAGGCAGTGATCCCCGGTGGGCCTGCTCTGGTGAGCTGAGCCAGATGTGAGACCTGAGTTCAAGTTCATATATTCTGGGATTGACCTGGAAGGAATTCAGTGCCTCCAAGAGCCTCAGTCTTTCCATCCTTCCTCCCAGGGCCACTAAGAAGAAGGACCAAGGTTCAGATTCTAAAGGGGGGGGGGGTGCTGTGTGCAGGGTCACCTCAGGGTCCTATCCCAAGTCTCTCACTGCTACAGTCAGATCTGCAGGAGGTGGGCGTGAAGCTGCCCCTGCAGAGTGACAATGGGCAGAGTCAATTAGCAGAGGAGAGCGGAGGAGAGCAGAGCAGCAAATGTCACCCCTGAGCCCTGGAGCCCCAGGGTGCCTGTCTGAGAATGAGCTGGCAAGTGCCAGCCAGTGTGCCGAGGGTGCTCCATGCGCTGTTTCATGGAATCCACCTACATCCTGTGTCATAGGCGTCATCTCGTTTTATAAAGCAGGGGACCCGAGGCTCCGTCGGGTTAGGCGGCTAAGCTCTCCAGCACCTGGTGGGATGCCGTGTTTTCTGTCTCTCCAGCTCAGGTCTGAGCTGGGGAAGAGGGGGAGATGGTTTGCCCTCAGGGGGGTTTCTGCTGTGTGGACTCCATCACTCCTGGAATGCAGCAGGAGGGAGGGGGCTGTGGAGAGCCAGTGGGGTGCACAGCAGGCTCCAGCTCCAGCAGGGGCTACACAGAGATGACGGCAGGGGGTGAAGAGATGGGTGGCCTCAGGCGAGCTGGGGAGACTTGGGAGCTTCTGTGGCATCCCTCTTGAATGGCCTTTGTCAGTGATTCAGAGCCATGGACTCTGAAACCTGGGTTCAAATCCCCGTGTCCCCAGCTGCATACCCATGGGGAGGTCACCTTGCTGCTCTGAACCTCAGTTTACCCACCTGAAGTTCCTGTAGGAAATCTCTAAGAGCCTTCTGAGTTGTTAAAAATATATATATGTTTTTTTAAAAAAAAGCTTTCTCCTCCCAGACTCATCTTTAAAATGGGAATAAAAATAATTTTAAGGCCAGGTGCAGTGGCGCACTCCTGTCATCCCAGCATCTCGGGAGGCTGAGGCAGGAGGATGGCGAGTTCAAAGCCAGCCTCAGCAACCGTGAGGCCCTAAGCAACTCYGTGAGACCCTGTCTCTAAATAAAGTGTCAAAGAGCCCTGGGATGTGGCTGAGTGGTTAAGTGCCCCTGGGTTCAATCTCCAGTATTAATAATAATTATAATATAATTTTTTAAAGTATCCGACTCATCAGGAAGACGGTGGGTGAGTCTAAACCAGTGAGTGTACGTAGTCATTCATTCACTCGTTCATTCAGCAAGTGTGACAGGGCAGCCTCTGTGCCAGGCCCTGTGGACGCCAAGGTGAACACACCCGGGCCTGCTCYGAAGGCTGCCAGGATGCAGGGACAGCCCTGCCCTCGCTTCCCCATTCTCCCTGCAGTGCCACAGCCAGTGACCTCACTGAGGTCAGGGGGAAGGGCTGGCAGGACCCGCAGCCTCCCCTTCTGAGCCTTCGCCCTTGGGGCCTGGCTCCCGCAGACCCGAGCCTCCTTGGGTCCCACGTCACTGTTCCTTGATGAAACCCAATTTTTCTGTTTCGAAGACAAAAAAGAATGAAAGAAAAGGCTTGAGAAAGGTTCTTGGATCTCAAGTGTCTCTTACAAAACATTTTGATTAATTAAGTATAAATGAATAAGAACCAGATGGGGACGTTTCTCTTGAAATGTGCCGGGGTGTCCCGGCCGTGTGACAGGCAGAGTGAGGGGCTCTGGTTTGTATCCCCTCCCCTCAGATCTGGAGCTCAATTTAGGGGATGAGGAGAAGCCAGACTGTGACTAACTTTCCCCAACATCCCAGGCCTGCAGGCGAGAGGTCCCCGTGTTCACAGGCGATTCTTAGATCCTTCTAGACCTGAAGCAGCCGGGGGCAGAGGGAGGAGCCCTGGAATTCAGGTAGATGGGGATTCACACCCTGAGCCCCTCCCGCCTTCRCCCTGTGATCTTGGGGAGGCCACACACCTCTCCTTCTGTGAAATGGGAGCCGCTGTACCTGCCCCTGGGCGGTTGGGAAGATTTAGCACCGGCCCAGAGGGAAGGTTCTAGAAGGCACCCAACGGGGGCTTCACAAGGATTCGGCCACTTCCCATCTGACAGCTGAGTGGGATGCACATGGCTGGGCGGAGGGGCGTCCCACACCGGTTGAGTCACCTGTGTCTCTGGCTCATTTTGCGATGTCACACAAACCTTCATTCTCTCTGAGCCTGTTTTTCATGTACTGTGAAATCACGGGCCCTGGAGGCCTGAGAGGTGGACAGCAGGTGACACTTCTGTGCACAGTGCAGAGCCTGTGTGCAGAGCCAGGAGGTCCCCACTGTCAGTTGTGCATAAAGCAGGGACCGACTCCTGGGCAAGCAGGTGTCTAAAGGCAGAGTTGGGGACAGTCTTCAGGCCAGGCCATGACTGGGCACAGAACGAGGTGTATCCCCTGGATGCTGACACCCAGACCCAGCCAGGTCCAGGTGCACATCAGCAGAGAGAAGAAGGGAAACGCAGATGGCTACAGAGCCGAGTAGAGGGGGTCACCTGGACAGCAAGGGCAGGGCAGGCCATCCTGTCCCCCGAGGGCAGGGTTTCTTTATGAATAGGTCCAGGTGAGAGCTGGAAAGCAGATGYTCCACACGGGCGTCCAGCTCCCCCTCCCTCTGAAGCCAAGCAAAGGGGGTGCTGCTCCTACCTCCTGCTGCTGAGCCTTGGGGGGCGCACCTCCCTCTCCTGGGGATGGAAGCTGTCCAACTCCTGAGCTCCTTGAGTGTGAATCCTCACTTGGTCACATCCCGGTGTGACACCCACTTCCCAGACGTAAGAGAGGCTCAGAGAGGGGCCCTGGCCTGCCCTGGAGCTCACAGCAGCGGAGCMGGGCCATGGATCCAGGGCTTGGGAGGCTCCATGGCTTGTGCCTGGAAATAGAAATGACTCCTGTCCCCGACTGGCAGTCACAGAGTGGCTGCAAGGGCGGTGTCTCTGACAGTGGTGGCACCATGATTTAGTCAGGTAGAGGTGGCGGTGGCGGGGGGGCCTCCTGCAGGACAAGGGGAGAGTCTAGCCACGTAGGAAGAGCCCAGGGGACACTGTGGCTGGAGGAAGAGGAGGCTCCATGGCAGACGAAGAACTATTGCCTGGGCCTCTCCTCCCCTGAGCAGGGCACTGAAAAGGACGCAGAGATGGCGCTCCAGGGTCACTGAGAACGTCACCGCAGGACCCTGTTTCTCCTCCACGTAGCCCAGAGAAGCAGGCTGGCCACAGTCCCAGGCTCAGCTGGGGAATCTGAGGCACCAAGAGGACACACCGCTTGGCTGAAGTGTCACTTGGATCAAGTTTATTCATCCATCTTCCGCCTGGGGAAAAAACCGAAGTTCACATTAATCCGAATAGGTTTGAGCTCATCGGGGGTCAGGGAGATGAACTTAGTCCGTGGCAACCAGCACTTCTGAACCAAGTGGAATGGACCGGAACAGAGAGAACAGAACAGGAGAGGAGAGGAGAGGAGAGGACAGCAGAGGGTAGCTCAGCAAGCTCTTTTTTTTTTTTTTTTTTTTTTTTAAGAGCCAGGGAGTCAACATCTGGGGCTTTGTGGATCCCTTAGGATGTGTCACATACCCCACTGCCTCAGCTCCTGGGCTTGCAAAACCGCCCAGATCTGGCTGATAGGCCTTGGTCCATGAGCTTGCATTTCAGAAAATATCAGGATGCATCGCAACCGTTAACGCCGATTACCATTTTGAGAAATGYACTTTGGCTTCTGTGTCTATGTGACTGTGTGTGTGAGGGGGTGAGGTGGCTGTGTGTGCACACCTCTGTGATGCCAATGAGTGTGTGAATGGTGCTGTGCGTGTGTGTGCACTGTGTCTGCCCCAGGTGCTGTGTGTGAGCTGACACAAAACTCTAGTTCTCACCATTGTCCAAAAGGGCGGACGCCACTCCGTCACCCTTGCTGCTTCTACAYCCCCATGGCCAGCCAGGTGACCAGCGCAGGTCCTCATGAATGCAAGATGCAGGGCCTTGGGAAAGCAGGAGGATCCCCATACTCCAGATGAGGAGACTGAGGCCCCCAGGTTACATGGGGATAGGCAGGGAGCTGGGGGTGGAGCCCTTGGTGTCTGTCCCAGGGACACTGGAGGTACTTAGTTTAGCCGTTTGTTTCTCGTCACCCTGAATCTGGTGGCCACATCCTTCCAGCATATTTTAGCCCCTGAAAGGTGGAGGGACCCCTCAGGGCCCTCCGTGTCCTCCTGCATCACACACCGCAGGGCAGCCAGTGTGTATCAGGCATGGCGTGGTCCCTTCACCTGGTCCTTGCCAGGCCCGTCTGGTGGCCGCAGTTGCCCTTCTCCTGCCTGTGGAAGACGAGGGCGACTGTGGACTTCTCCAGAAGCCCACCCGGGCTGCCATGAACCAGCATCACTTCCTAGTTTGAAGACTTCCGTGTGGGGCGGGATCATCGACTAGTGGGGTGTTGAGGCCGAAAAGGTCCATTGAGACCCTAAGACCCA